TCAAAAGAGATTTTCACAATTTTACTTGAATGTGTCTCAATAACTAAGAATGTCAATGAAATGTTTATTTTAGCAATTTAATTCAAAACTCTATATATAGAGTACGCCCTGATTCAGATGTGGACAAGTAAGCTTCTAACGAACTGCGCTGGAAGAACAAACTTTATAAAATATCTTTCACACCTTCTGGTTTTCATGCTGAAGTATCTGTTATATATAATTGTTGAGCAAAAGATGCCACTATTTGTTGCAGTTCTCCCTTAGTGACGTTTGGAGAAGCTTTTGATCCCACCTACCATTTTCTCCACTGAAAGTACTCCTCCAGCTTTGACTCAACTTGTTTTAATCTATTTAATTACTACTTGTGAATCAGATATGTTTGTTTTGGAAAGTTTCTTGAGAAGGCCACTCACTGTGAATGTGTGCTATGAACATCAACTGAACTGAAAACTAAAATCATTACTGTGATTATGGGCCAGTTTCTTGTCTTGTAGCAACATCCTAACTTATGAAGATCAAAACTCATCTGCCTGACTTAAAAAGGATGTTCTTTTGTATTTCCCATTTTAAAGACGGTAAAAGAAATGAAACTCAATAATATATTTTATATATGTTAGGTAAATGCGACACCAATTACAAATACACTCAGATGTTCGAAACGAAAGATAAAAATTCTTCTGTCGTATTTATTTAATATCAATTTTAAGAGGATCAAATATTGTGTTTCCAAAGATTGAGTTGAAAAAGCTTTTATTTCTAAAAGTTCTACAAAAATAATAGATTAATTTATTTTTAACAAGCTGTAGCAGGAGGGTCAATAAATGTGGCAGACAACGTACAAATATGGCAGAGTAAAAATCTGCCTGATAAAATTAAATACTTTGCTAGCAGTTGCATTAAAAAGACACGGTAACACTTTATTTTAACGGGGTTGAATAAGACTGTTATGACACCATCATAAACATGACATAACACCTGTCATGAACATGAATAAGCCTTCATGAATATTTATGACTGTTGTCATAAAGTGACATTCGGTAAATTATGACACTTTTAATACAAAGTTGACATTATTCAAAATGCCGTTGTTATGACAACTTGACATTAACCAAGAAATCATTACTGATATAAATTTGTTATAAAAGTATTACTGATTGCACTTTAAAAATTAGGTAACTTTATGTTATTAAAGGTAAAGTTTGAACAGTAATGATTTCTTGGTTAATGTCAAGTTGTCATAACAAAGACATTTTGAATAATGTCAACTTTGTATTAAAAGTGTCATAATTTACCAAATGACACTTTATGACAATAGTCATAAATATTCATGAAGGCTTATTCATGTTCATGACATGTGTTGTCATGTTTATGACAGTGTCATGACAGTCTTATTCACCCCCCTTCAAATAAAGTGTTACCAAAGACACAAATTTGCTGTTTTCAGCTGACCCAACATCTTAAACCTAAAGAAACATAGCCAGAAAAAAATATTTGCAGAACTGTTTTTATTTAACCACAATTAAAGGTTTTTGGTGATAAACTGCAATTTTTAGGCAGCACCACAACATCTCAGTCATGTTTTACTTGAGGCTATAACTCAGTGAAAATCGTTTTTGATTTGATTTTTAATCATCAAAATATGAACTTGCTGGTGCTTTTATAACCAAAGTGACAAAGTTGTACCAAGCCACACTGCTGCAACCAAGAGAAAAATTCAACTGTTTAAGAAATGTTTGACCGAAGACCCACTAGTGAGATGTTTTTATGCAACGCAATGCTGAACTAATAGAATTGAACAAAGATGTCAAAATTTGAAGGAAAAATGGAACATTATTGTGCCGTGCCTACAATTTTGTACAGTTTTGGGATGACACAAATACAATGTGTGTGCATTTTTTTTATTTTTCAGTTTGGTTTCCTTGACAATTCTATGGTGAAGTTACATATTAACTATTTCTTTCTGAAAGGCCCATTGACATTCTTTATAAGAATCTATTTGTTGTTCAGGCTAGGGATAACAAAAATCCTGAGAGGTAGAGTAAAACATCAACCTTTTTCATGGGAACGCCACATAATGAAGTCCTGTCTAACAATTTACAGCATGTTTAAGTACAGAGTCCACTCAGATGTCCAACAGTTCATTCAGAAACAAGGAAGCTTTAAACGTGGATATTTAATAAGTAACAACTATCAAGTTGATTATTAAATGTTTCTTCTGTTAGATTTCTACAACCTTAATGAGCAGCAGGGACTGCAAATGTTCTCCAATTGTTTTCCTTTTAATTCTTCAAAATGAATTGCTTTCAAGCCTATGTCCTGTTGACTCCATAGTTTGTCCTCAGCATGTAGGAAACTATCTGTCAAATTGCAACCTTTGCAAGAGCCTGAGTTGTTTATCACATAATCAGGCAGGAATCTATTTTCAATATATCAGAACATCATAATCCGAGGCAGGGCACCGAGGGAGGCTCACATAGAGGCGGATTTAAGAGTCACATGGCAGAGCGCAAAAGAAGAACAGAGACTGAGTGAAAAAGCCTCGATCAAGAGCGAAAAAGAGAGTAAAACTGGATCTATTTGCAAACTATATTTTCCTAAGGTGCTTATCCAGATACATGCAAAACAGTAAACAAATCCTATTTTAAATAGAGAAGAGAACTGAGTTGATCACTTCATTTGCTTGGTTAGATCATAACAACTTGATTGGTTAGAAAATTAAAACATTTGATTACTATTGGTACTAATTAATACAACAATGGCAACATAAAAGTGTTGTGATCCGTAGTTTTCTGTGTTTATTTTTGGGTTTTTTCTGTGTTTATTGTGATCCTGTTCCCTGTGAGTCTCTGTGATGTCCTGTTGTGATTGAGTTCATTCTGTGATTGATCCCAGCTGTGTCTCGTTCCTGTGATTACCCTCCCAGTGTATTTAGTCCCACCTGTTTTTCTGTGTTCCTCGTCAGATCCCCGTCTAACGTCGTACGTCTTACGTTTAGCACCTACCGTCAAGCTCTCCAGTCGCACTGTTTTGAAGTCCTGGTTAGCCTTAGCTCCCGTATTCAGTCACCTTGTTGTCAGTTGCTATCGGTTATTAGCTGTGTGCTATTGTTCCTACTGTGCTGCTTGACTGGACTGTTTTTGAGCAACATTCATCATTAAATTCATCATCATCAACTTCATCTGGGTCTCCTGCGTTCATTCTCACCACCACTGACCACACCACATGACAAAAAGGTCCAAAGAAATTAAAATGATCCTCAACCCTCTTGCATGTTCATTTCTGAGGAGAAGCAGTAAAGTCCCTGGGTCAATTTGACCTTGGACATTTTTTTAATATGCAGTAGTGTCAAGAGTTCAAACGTTTCTCCCAAAACATTTTGGTATATTATCATTAACTCCATGACTAACAATTTCAGTCAATATTTAGTGCAATTATGTTCTTTACCTCCAAGATATAAAGAATGAGAATAATTCAACTTGTTTTTCACAAAAATAAAACCATTTTGATTTTTTTTAATGTCTACAAGGGAAATCTAGACTGAAAAATCAATGGTTATGCATGAAAATTATATTGTACCCTAATTATTCTCCGGAGCTCCTAAAGCTATTTAGCTGCTTGGAAGACATATATTGCCAGAATGAGGACCCCCTCCCTCAAATATGCATGAAAATGTATTTTATCCAACCTCTATTCTCCCCTTAAACAGACCTTCTTTCTAGGTTAGTCATTTCAAGGAAGATTCTTTATTGAATTGGGCAAGAGTAGCTCAATAGCTGACTTGATGTCTTTGGCACGAGTTACTACCATACCAGTAGGCCGTCGTACTGTCTTTATTACATTTTCAGCCCAGAGTCTTGTTGGCGTGTACTTTACGTCATTTGTTTCATAATCAGACTTAGAATTGATCTCAATAGTGATGGCTGCAGCACATACCTTCTCACAGTTTACTAATGAGGTAAAGAGAGAAGGAAAAGGGTGTACACTTGTGTGTCTGGGCACCAATCCAGTTAAAACATTATCATGACAAGTTTTATTTGCCTAAAAATGTATGCTGATTAACAAGGGGTGTGCTGACAAAAATCAACTTGGTCTAAAATAGCCCAAAAATTATCTCATTTTAATAGTCACTCACCTCACATCCCCGCATATAGAATCCAGGTTACATGTTGTATCACACAAGTAATCCTGACTGCTAACTCTTAAGGGGTAAAAGGCATCCTATGGCTTTATAGGAGTTGGATGTCAAATCATAGCAGTCACAGTGCTGTTGGCATGCCAGTGGTTTTAGGCTGGGCCATAAATACTTTCTAAGCTGGAGAATATTAATCTTTTAATGTTGTTTTCTGGGAGTGCTTTTTCCCCAATGTTGGTGCTCTTATTAGTACTGAGATCTTTATTTTTCAGTGCAAGTGCTTTTACAAAGATGCCTATGTTTCATTTGGTTTTTGTTTTCATTTGTAAACTATCAGCATCAATGTTAGTTCATTCAGAGTTAAACTGCATTTTAAGGTGAGTGAGGATTTATCGACTTAGCAAGTAAAACACTTAGAAGTACTCTAGAAAAAAAAAACACTTAGAATTACTGGACTTTTCACCCAGATCCAAGTATTAGACAGCTGGGGAGTCTGGCTGGTTTCTAAATATTTGGTATAAAGCAACTCTTTATGTATTTAATCACTCAGCTTAAGGAACTGCTCCAGCTCTGTCAACAGGACAATGTTTTTATGGTCTGTATTAACAAAACTTTCAGACAGTGCTTAGAATTTTTTCCTTTAAAAGTACTAAAGATTATTTTTAGTGATGAAAGCAAAATTAATCAGAACAAGATAATTTTTCACTACAAAATTAAAGAATTGTATTTGAAAGTCAGAGATGAAACAAATAGGAAAGAAGCCAAAGAAGCATAACAATGTGGAAATTATGATTGTGTAATGCTAAATGATTTTCCTTCTCCACTCTGATGTTTTTGTTTAAAGCATGATGTTAGATATTTTACTCACAAGGCACAGCGTGGCGATATAAATTGGCTCGGATAGTCTTCTGCAACTCATGGTCAGGTGATGTTTTCTGAAACCTCAGGCTCAAGAAGTGCTTCAGATCCTTGTTGAGCTTGTGACCTGGAAAAAGGAATCAGAAAAAAGCAACTGAAGTAAAAAAAAAAAAAAAAACAACTTTGATTAATAAGGTAATTGGATAAAATGTTATTTTGCTAAAAGATTACAGCAATGGACTATAATAATACAGTGAGATTTTTTTACCTATTAGTGTCTGTAAGCAATTCCCTGTTCTTTGAACTTTTTGCACAAGTGCAAATAATTAAACCTTTTTAAAGTTTGTATGATGTATGCTGTAATTCTTACAATATTAAACATTAAGATTTTTGCACACTCATCAAGATTCATGACTTTAGGAAAACATCAGAGCAGAACAAACAAAAAGCCCAAAAATGTGTCACTGCTAAGATCCCAGATAAAAAAACAAAACAAAAAAAAAAAACAATGTTCAGCGTTTGAGCCTTGCATCAATAAGACACACAGTATGCAACAGGATGGTTCACTCACTGGAACAGGTTGCAGCGACTCACTAAAGGTTACTCTGATTGGATAAAACTGTACAGCACACCCAGAATGTATCCAATCATATGTGTGTTTGCTGGTGACTGAGTTTGAACAGAGCTCTGGTGCTCACAATGGGGCCAGATGGCCAGAGCTCGCTCTCACGCCAGGGTCTCATTTAGGACCATTTAATGATCTCCAAATATATCACCATGTCTGCCAGAGCTGGCAGACAGTTCTTGGGGGAGGTGCCATGTCCCCTTGTCAGCCTTGGATCCTAGCAGGAGAGTTTCCTCTGGTTTCTGTGCTTCAGGATAACAGAGTCTGCTCAGCTTCCTCATTGGAAGGTTAGTGATGGCTTTCCAATTTCTAAACTTCTCTTACCAAAGGAAAAATTGCATAACAGAAGAATCTGTGCTTCTTTTTCTTAATTTTTCTGCATTACAACCTTGAATCTATTTCAGTGGTATTTTGTATAATAGAAAAAGTAGCACAAAATTATGGAGAAGGACATTTTCATACAAATAAATCTGAAAATTGTGCCATGTATTTATAATACATCTCCCCAAGTCTATTTATTGAACAGATTTTGATTTTTCTTTCTTACTTACTTGCTTCCTTCATTGAGATAAACACAGTAAATTTTTGTAAACGACTAAGAAAAAATGTGCATCCATATGGCAGGATGCAGCAACGCACTGTAGCACATAAAGCACTTAGCCTGGTATGGGTTGGCAACAGAAGTGAAACAGTAATGAAGACAAACATCATTCAGTTAACTGGTGATAAATGTAAGAAACGCTAGCTAGCTAGCTAGCCAGGGTACTAGCTTGTTACTGGTACCCTCAACCATCTTGAGTCGCAGAAGGCATTGAAGAAGTCTGAATGTGACTCAAACTTTTACATGACAGAAACATCCAGGAAAAAAAAAAAAAAAAAAAAAAAAATGGAATCTACAAGATTAAATAGTCCTGGCATAGTCCTGGCCACCACGGTGTAAACAATAACAAAATTCTGGATGAGATTTAGCCAGAATTGCAAAAATCTGGTTCATCACTGGGTTCAAACTCAAATCTCCTCCTGCTTTGAAATATTTCTGCCCAGATGTCGAGACACTGCTTGGTATTCTACATTGCTACATTTTTCTATTCCTAAACACACTCTCTATCACACACACACACACACGCACACACACACACAGCCCACTGTGTGTAATTCAGTGCAAGTAAAGCACAGTCAGGTAATTGTTACCTAGCAACCAGCCAGTGCTGACGACCATGATTACGGTCCCTGCTAGGCAAGCAGAAGTCAAATTGTTGAAGGAAAAACAGATACAACAGCACTCTCTCTCGTTCCCTTTCGCTCTTTACTGCAAACACACACGCATAGTTACACACTAACATAAATAAACATCTCGATTATGTTTCTATAAGTGCATTCTCTGCTGCTTCCTTTTGATTTATACAACCCACACACAAGTAAGGATATATAGCTCATATGTTAGCATTTGTACTCATCTTCTTGTCAGATTTGCTGGCTCAGACATTTTCCCAGAGATAAAGACCCTTGTCAGAAACGACCTCCTCCTGCAGGCACGTACGGTGAGCATTGACTGGGCCGCCCAGGTGTCATGCTCCATCAATGAGAAAGTCATCAAATATTCAATATTTATGTGGATTAAGACTGTGGGGATCACGTAATACAATCAACCCACTGTGTTGCGACTGTGCTTTCTTTTTTTGGTTGTGAAAACAAAGGCTTATGTAAATCTGATCCATTTACATTGCTCTTAGATATGCCTAAAGATTAGTTTTAATTTGAATTTATTATAACACTAAACTTTACAAAAGCTCCACCAGTATCCTATTTGACACAGTCAGAACCAAAAAAATCCATGACAGTCGTATCATCTGTTTTCCATGTCCATCAGTGAGGATCTTGTTCCTGATATATATGATGATTTCTATTGATCTTCCAACAAGGAATACTTGGGTGACACAGGTATGCCATTAATTAGCTCAAAAGTTGCATTTAAAAAGCCTTAGGAATCTTATAAAGCAAATACATTATTGGTGCATTCCCAAATAGATGAAAAGCAAAAATCTGATTCATCATTGGGTTCAATTTTCAGATGGCTAAAAGTGCCAGTTCAGCTGTTCAAAGAATTGTGTGCCACTATAAGAACCATGGGAATCTCCAGCCTTTGTACTGCTTAGGGAGGAGGTGGATTCTGTGTCCCAGGGATTAACGTATTTTGGTGTGAAGTGTGTGAATTATTAGCAGAAT